TGTGGAGAGTGCCCTCAAGAATCTCCACGGGGTCTTCCATGCAGAGAAGGAAGTCCATGGGATCACGGACTTGAGGACCTTGATCGTCGGTGGGATCGTCAATACAGCGGGAGCGTAGCTCCGACGGCACCCATTCAACATGAAGCTTGCGATTCTGGTAGGCGAGATCGGTAGCGGACCAGTTCTTGATAACTCGAATGAAATTGGGGAATGAAGACTCACCAAGGTGAAACTGGAGAAAGGACGGCAGGTTGTCGAGCACGTTCATCGCAAGGGGGAGATAGCGCTGGCGAACCACCACGAAGTAGCATCCATCTTCCTTGGCTGGTAGGATCATGACAAAGAGAGGGCTTGGTCTGTCGTTGGTGAGGTCCATCTGGGCAAGCTGGTCGATCCAGGCATCGTCGTCCTCGGGCAACTTGGGTGCCGTGAGGAGGGACGTTTTCTTGTCCTCCACAGGTTTTGGAGTGGAAGCAACCAAAGACTTTTTGATGATGGTGGTCCACTCGAAGGTCGGGGGACTGTCATCATCATCGTCATCACCGGACGACTCGCTATCACTCAGCTCTAGGGCCTTGGTTGGTGGCTTCTTGGGTTCTGCATCCTCCGCCTTCTTGGCCTGGGCGCCCGTGACAATGACGGCAAGAAGGAATCGTAGGAGGGTGAGCCTGCCAAAGTTCTCAGTTGCAGCAGAAGTCAGCATGCCCGGGAGTTCGATGGGAATCCGGTAGATTGCAGTCAGAACCCGCGTCGCCCAAGTCCTTTCCCGCATGGCTTCGATCAAGGACTGAAGCTGTGGGCACTGTTTGCCAAGGACCAATTCGTCTTTCGCCGCCTGCCAATCTCTGGTGTAATGGGTCGGTGCTTGGAAGGGAGCACAACTGGGCTTGCGTAGGTCCAAGTTCGCAGCCAAGATCAGGTCGGCCTCGCGAGCGAAGGCTTTTGGAACAAAGACGTGCCAGCACAGGAGTCCTCAAGAGGACCCAGTGAATTTGGCAGAGAAGAACCGTGGATTGTTGACCCATTCTTGCATGAGGCCGATGGGGTACTGGAAGTTGCAGAGACGCATCAAGTCTTTGCAGTACGGACCAATCGCCAATTCTTGTGGTAGCAACGGGAGGAAGCCAAGCCGGACCATGTCGGAAACCTGGATCGGAGTCGGGAAGACGCCCGCCCGAGGCTCA